GATGAATGCTGAGAAAACTCTAAATCAGAGGTCACGGATTAGAGGACCGCGGTGCGGATCTGGACCCATCTGCTGGCTAATCCGGACCCAACCTGATTTCAGTCATTTATAAATTACACATGTTGTCTGACGATAGTGTCTAACTTCGCTTCTCCTGTTACCCTGAAATCCCACATCCTCCGTCTCCACTCCGTCCCGCAGCATCCAGACTTCCTGCAAAGCAAAGCCTGCAGCCTCCGCTGTTCCTCTCCTCTTGCTGCGCTTTGACTTATGCTCAGAGCTCATTCAATCATATCATTCAATTTCTTAGGAGCAAAACATGCAGAAATGAAAGCTTAATTTAATATGACTTAGATGTTTCTGATGGAGATGAGAAATCTGCTTCCTGGTCTGTTGAAGAACCAATAGATTGCATCCAATCTTTTAAATAAACTGCGTTAGTTTTTTGGAATATAGAAGAATTATGCTCTAATTTGTAGTCACCGATCTGTTGTTACTATATTTTAATTTGACGAACCAGATCTTCTTGCGGTTCTTTTTCCTGTTTGGTGAGATTGCAATAGCGGATCTTGACCTGGCCGGACCGGAGCGGAGCCTGAACATTTAGAGGATGTTTGGTTCAACCTGCTGCTGTGAAGCAGGATTCTCCACCATGAACAGGATAAAAAATAAATATGGATAAAAATGAGCACCTTGATATGTGCTTGAGAATGGCTTAGTCTCTGGTTAAACCCAGGTTTAAAGCCTTGCAGGGCAGCCTAAAGCCCACTGCCAACATTAAGACAGAAAAAAGAAAGAAAAATAACAAAAACGATGAGTTCAGCTGTTTGATAAAATATGGGAATCAGGAAATTGTCTGTAAACGAAACTGAAAGATTGTTGTTCTATACTTAAAAAAAAACCACTTTAGATTTTAAAATGATTTTTCTATTTTTAAAAAAATATTTTTTAATTTAACAATTCAATGTATAACATGGATGCATAAACACCTGTGATAAATTCTGTTTAAAGTAACGGATCATTAAAAATGTCTCCGGATCTTTACTGGTTGATGATTTTATTCGGATCCGGCTGATTTTTAATTGGTTACCCCTGATCTAAATCATGTCCCAGACCCTGCATCACACTGATAACACCAAACCAGACTGCTGCATATCTGCATCATAGATATTAATGCTCTGAACTTCCACTCTGTTTACCTTCGATCACTGCTGCACTTTACGGAATGGAAATGTTCATTTACTGTCTGAAAGCTGTTCTAAATGTCGTTTAGTATATAGTGTATAGAAAATGACAGTAAAAGTTGTCTAGGTCTAAATTAGAGCGTACCAAAGCTGTACGTCCCATAAGCAGGGCGTACCATGTAAACCTGTAGGTATTGCTGGTTATATATGTCTAGTTCAGATATTATATTTCAGGAAATTCTCCTCCTTATCTTAATTTAATTCTATAAATAGTTTACTCTGGTTGAAAGACTTTAATTTAAAGCAGAGTAAAACTTTGGGTGGCCAGTTTAGCAGCCGTTCTCTCCAGCAGCTGATCATTTAGAGAGCACTAATCTGATGAGGAGAATAATCCGGTAGACTGGAAAGGCTTGGAGTTCAGTGTTCTCTACAGGACATCCTCAGCTCTGGGATAAAACAACACCTCTCTGTTTTAGATTCAGTAAAATCTCCATTCTGGCCTAAAAACATCTTACAAGTTTATCTTGGGTTAGTAGAGCGATTTGGAGCATTCCCGGGTCCTGGTCTCCTTCCCATGTGGCCGATAAACGGGTCCTTCTCTCCCTGGTTTGAAGGAGGGTCCATTTGGGGCCCAAATATTTCCCATGATTGTTGTCCACCATTGTCCACAGCAATGGTGGACAACAGTAGAAAAAATGCGATTAATAATATATTACACTCTCCATGACCTCGCATAAACACCGTTTTCACTCTAATATTACTTTACAAAGTTTCAGGAACTTTATCATCTTTTCCTGAAATCCATCCAGGGACGTAAAGAAATAATAACTCATGGTTAACTGCGGATTAATGGGTTAAAATAAAATAAAGGAATAAAATGAGCTCCATGCTTTTCATTGATTACATCCACATTTGTTATTGTAATGTTAACATCGGCCACTGGAGGGCGCCATAGTTCTGTCTTAATCTGAGCCTTTACTCTAATAGAAGTAAACCATAGTTAGAACAGAATCATGAATGGATCCAGATGATGTCCTTCATGGATCCCAAGATCCAGGATGAACTTCCTCTGTTAGTGAATCTAAATCTGGATAAACTCCAGTTCTCTGATCAGAAGGAGAGGATGATGGGAAAGATGATGCTGGATGGAGGAAAAGGAAGGTTCTCCTTCTGACAGCGATTCCGGGCAACCAGGGACACCCGTCTGTTAGTCACACTGAAGAAAATAATCCAACCGTTTTTGGCACTTAACCATATTTAGTTACTTTAACACAATGGTTTCATATTAGCAGGGTAGGATATAAAACAATTGCGTTAAAGTAACTAACTATGATGCAGTAAATGCATTATTTTTAGAACTTCCTCTTTCACGGTTCCTGTTAATCTCACTAAGTTTAGTTCTTTCAGTCAGATTTTATACAGCTGGACCATTTAATAGATTAAATATAAGGATGTCTTTTTTCTTTTTATTTATCATATTTAAAAAACATGAATAAGGGACGGCATTATATTACAAATCGATTAATCTGTTGATTGTTTTTTTAGATTAATGATAAATAATCAGGTAGTCAATGTTCCTTAAAGAAGATTTTTTCTACAAAATGAAACCATGTGAAACTAAAACTTTTTCGCTTGAGTTCTGGATTATACAGCAGATTGACAGACGAAAAACTTTTTTTTTATCTAAAACACCAGAATTTTTTACAATCTTGGTATAATACCTGCTCTAAGTGGGTCACTCTGTCAGCTAAAGGCAGGTTTTACAGTATCTATACTCCAGTTAATGATTAATCCATTAGTTGATGATTATTTCAATCATCGAATAATCTGAT